TTCATCAGTGCGAAGGCCAATCGCACCCATCGCGAAGACGGTTCGCCTTTCCTCAAGAATCGGATTCACCAGTGGGTCTTTCGCAAGTCTTGGTCTGGTGACACTCCAAACTTGCTTTTGCAAGCTGTGCTTCGAGCACTGCAGCAGTAAATCTTTCTCTGTCGAAAGCCGTGCAGCAGGGGAATGCCTGGCAGTTCCAAAAATGCTGCCGACACACACCTTTTGACTTCAGGGATGGGCTTCAGGGTTTAGGGTGAAGGGCTTAGGCTTTAGGGGTTTAGGGTTGAGGGTTTAGGGTTTAGGGTTTTGAGTCTAGGCCTTAGGGTTTAGCGTTTAGGGTTTACGGTGTAGGGTTTAGGGTTTAGGGTTTCCGCTTTAGGCTTTAGGGGTTTAGGGTTTCGGCTTTAGGCTTCAGGCTTGAGGGTGTCGGGACGCTTGAGCCTTTAGGTACAGCAGCACACCCCTTCCAAACCCTGAAACCTTCATTTTGCGTGCCCGCGAGTAATTTTTTTTGGTGATTTTTCGGCCTCTACTGGAAATGACGCAAAACACCTATGTCCGGCGGCTTTACCACAGCAAACCCACCAGGCGCCCTGGGGCGCGCTAGCCTAGTAGTAATAGAAATAGTAATAATAATAGTAGTAGTAGTAGTAGTAGTAGCAGTAATAGTAGTACTGGTGGAGTAGTAGTAGTAGTAGTAGTAGTAGTAGTAGTAGTAGTAGTAGTAGTACTAGTAGTAGTAGTAGTAGTAGTAGTAGCAGCAGTAGTAGTAGTAGTAGTAGTAGTAGTAGTAGTAATAGTAGTAGTAGTAGAAGCCGCCACGGATCAGACGGCCAGGCACTTGCTTCCTGGTAAACCGGGCTTTGGAACCAGTCCTCAGGGGAACGTAACAGCTTGTGCCTTACTGTGAGCCATGGTGAGCCGCGTTCTTTGAGCCGTCTGATCTGCCGGGTCCCAATTCCCGGGCCTCCTGAGCTCAGACATTGCAGTCACTGCATTCTTTCAGGGGGTAGGCGATAGGGTTTCCACTGCTCCGCGAGGTGGAAGGAGTACCCACAAGAAGCAAACGCAGCCTGTTTCAGGTGGGGAAAAACTAGCGGATGGCGGTACCTTCGAAGCACCAAGACAATTTTCGGAGCATTCGTAAAGTTGCATTCAGGAGAGCATGTACTTTAGTTTCACGCGCTCAGCAGAGCGTTTCTTACAGGAAAGGGATCTTGACGCCGGAATATGTGGAGAGAAGCGGCTTGCGCCCTCCCAATAGCGACAGAGGGGTCGACACAGTCGACGCCCCCCGCTATGCGCACAGCGCCCAGACCCAGAGGAGGCAACATGGTCAAACCACTGAGGGTATTGACTTGGAACGCCGGGCACCTAGGTCAACAGCAATGGGCTGAGCTTCGCACCTGGTTGCGCACTGCTTCAGATCAATATGATGTGATCGCTCTGCAAGAGACGCACTGGCAGGAAAGCACTGAGTTTGATGTTGAGGGGTGGCCCAGCAAGCAAAGGCAAGGCCAAAGCCCCCAAGGCCAAAAGCCAACCTGCGCCAGACCACACCTTTACGACACAAAAAGGCGCACAACCACAGGCCCAGCACGTTCATGATGACAAAAGGGCAGACGGAGTAATGATACTAACAGCCCCGCACATTCCCAAAGCCACCATCAGATGGAGCGAGCATCACAAAGGGAGGGTTCTGGAAGTGGTTTTCCAATGGAAAGGAGCACGCGTGCATACGGTAGCGGTGTATCAGCATGTATGGGCCACTTCCAAAACAGCCCAGCAGAACCGAGAGGACAGATCGCAGCGCCTGACATCTTTATCAAAAGCAGTTCGTGGAGTCCCACAGCGCGACACATTAGTGGTTTTAGGAGATTTCAACTCTACGCTGAACACCAGTGCGGGAGTGGTAGGCACCTGTACTCCAGGTTCTCCACAGCACCGCTTAGCCGAAGACGCATACTTTCAACGCTTCGTGCAAGGACATGGCCTGGTGGCGCTCAACACATGGTCTTCAGGATCGGGCCTTCCCAGTCCCAAATCGACTATATTCTTGTCCCGAAGCCACTAGCGCGTGGAGAATCCAAGCAGAGCAAACCTCTTACTGACTTCCCGCTGGGAAGATGGAAGAAAGGAGGACACTGCCCAGTTGAGGCTAAGATTCGCCCTCTCAGGCACTGGCAGCTTTCCTCCCAGCCCCCTCCCCCTCCCCCATATGACAAGCAAGCTCTTGAAGAAGCCGTACGATATAATCACCCCAAAGCGCAAGCAATGAAAGAGTGGGTTGCTGACCAGCTTTCTAAGATCACAACGTCGGACATGGAGGAGGTGAATGAGGTGCTCATCAAAGCGTCAGAGCGCTATTTCCCAAGAGCCCCTAAGCCCTCCTCCCCTCCCCTTAATGCGATGCACAGGGCAACAAAGCGCATGTGGGCCCGGTTGACCGCGCTGGATGCAGACCTAGCCCAAGCCACGCTGTCTCCTGCAGATCACGAAATGTTGGTGCAGGACCTCGCCACGTGGCACAAGCAGGCTGTCACTAGGCCTGGCAGATTTCACCCAAGAGGTAGATCAATCTACGCAAAGTGGTAACTCCTACCTGGCACACAAGACGCTGCAGAAATTACGTCCCTGGCAGCCTCAGCCCAAAACTCAGCTAGTTAACCAAGATGGTTATCTGATGGCTGCTGAAGAAGAACTCAAACTCATGCAGGACCACGCCAAAGCAGTGTTTCAAAGGCATGACAGGCTGCAATTTGAGGTTTGTGGTCTGCCAACACTCTCAGCCTCCTTACTCTCGGCAGTTCCTCAGAACTCGGCGTCGGCCGCCGCGTGGAAGCTGTGCTCTGACTCGGCCAGCGAGCACCTTGCAAAATACTGCAACGAGCAAGCCCGTAAAGCTGAGCACAGCTCGCTGGACGCGGCAGTGATCCTTTCTGCACAGCTAAAGGACACTGACCTATGCTTCATCCCCAAGCCTAACAAGCCCCCAACTAAGCCCTCAAATCTACGCCCCCTTGGGATCATCAGACCAGATGGCAAGGGTCTGGCCGGGGCTTGCCGAGATCTCCTGGCTCCCTATACTTCCAGTTACTTGAAATCCGTGCCACAGTTTGCATACCAGCCTCAAAGAGGTCTTTCTGATGCTCTTTCCAGGGTCTCCAAACACACCAGAGAGGTACAAGTTCGCGGAACAGCTTACCTGTCAGCAAGGAGAATAAGGTGGGAGCTAATTTGCATCCTTGCTTTATGCCAGTTGTGGACTCAACGTAGCAAGAGGTCTGCTGGGAACGAACCATGTATCTGCTGTCAGAATGCAGTGATGCCACTAATCCCTGAATGTCTGGTGGTACCCCAGCTTCCTGAAGAGTATCCATGAGGTCCTGTCGACGAACCATGTCAAAGGCCTGGGATAGGTCAAGTGCAAAACAGATCCCTCCTACAAGCTCTGGTTTTCTATGTCCGGCATGCTGGGAGTGCCTGCTGAGCCGCGACTGGCTGAAGTAGTAGGCTGGGATCGTGCGCTGCAATGCTTGACGGGATATGCAGATGACTTGACTGTTCATCACGCCATCACCAGTTGGAAGGATTTGGTGCAAGCACACAATATGATAGCAGACCTTCTCCGCATTGTCAGAAAATACGGCTTCAAAGTGAACTCAGACAAGTGTCATGTGATGGTAAAGCTAATAGGCACTGCCTCAGCCCGAGCACACAAGCTTTTCAGTCAAACCAGACTTGACTCCCAGGGAATTCAACACCGCACATGGCGCATAGGGAGAGCACCAAAGCCCAGGAATCCTTCCTGCAATCCACGTCTTTCAAGTACCTAGGAGTGTACGTCTCCCATGGTAACCAAGAGAAGGCAACGTTAGACTACAGATTGCAAGAAGGCAATGCAAAGCTGCAACAGGTCCGAAAATATGTGCACAACAGACGTTTTTCAGGCCCAAAAAGCAGATTGAAGATTTGGCAAACAACAGTCTGGGCAACGGTCTCGGCAGGACTTGTCGACATAGGACTTACAACGGAGACAGCACAACAATTACGACTGGCACGCCAGGAAAATCAGGTCCTCAATAAACCCGTCCATCTCACGGGTATATCGACGCATCACTTGCTCGCTGCCTACGGCATTAAAGATCAGTACAGCTCCTATTCGAGCGTCAGAGCAACAGAGTCAGCTCGCTGAAGGCAAGACATAACTCTCAAACAAGGCTTGCTGCACAGCAAGCAGCTGAGCAGGATGCACAGCTTCTGCGCAATTACCAAGATGCTGCGCTACTTTCCAAAACTCTCCAGTGTGCGCAAGGTTCTCACGGAGTATAAGAACTTGCTGGCAAAAACCCATGAAGATGACGATTTAAAACATTGCTGCAGGTACTGCCCATTTCACACCACAACTGAACAGGGGCTACACATACATGAAGCTAAGATGCACAGGGACAAGCTTGATCACTACGTTCCGCTTGACTTTCTACCAGAGCACTCGATGGACGGTTTACCCACTTGCGCAGCGTGTCACAAAAATTTTGCCCTCTGGAAAGGACTGAAGGACCACCTTCCGAGCCTGCAGAGAGCCGGCAGCCTTACGACGCATGGACGCTCAGCACTATGAATTGCGCGAATAAGCAGGCCAGACCAGCCTCTAAGCACTTGTGGATCACTGCGTGCTCTGTGGATTCTGGACGCCTGATCATACTAAGGTCAAGTCGCATTTGCATTAGGAGCATCGCAGAATCTGGGATGCTCTGCAATCCAGAACCACTGCACAGTGTCAGAAGCACGGCACGGAAATCCTGAAAGATAGACTTTGCCCCTTCTGCGGCAAGAGCGTCACTGACCGGCGCGAGCATCCAACGCAGTGCGGGATCTTGTTTTAGATATTGCTAGGCAATTTAGTATTGCAGATTACCCAAACCACCACTGGACCACTGCAGTCATTCTTCAAGGCCAGCATCTTATCACCGCCGGAGACCAAGCCCCGTCAGCACCTA